ATATGGCCTTGGCGAGCGTACTCGCGCATAAATTCAACGTATTGTTGTTTCTCATCAAACGCCGTTCTACGGTCAGAAATCGCACTAAACAGCCGCTCATTGTTTCTGAAAATATGACCTTTGGTTGCTGAAAAGGTAACTCTACTACGTACTTGCCGGTCTCAGTTCTAAAATACGTGTTAGTGAAGTGATGCTCTGCATAATCGTCTTCGCTGTTATGTACTGGCACATGAGTCTCTTCAATCTCCCAAAATTTTCTTAGTGACTGGTCGACATCTGCAAGTATAACGAGCGAAATAGTAGGTTGTACCTGAGGTAGTGGAATGCTGGTAACTATCCACCCAAAAATTGACGATACTGCGATAACATTGCCATGAGTGTCGTAGATCTTGTCCGATGTGATAACGTCCCACACGTACTGTGCACCAATTAAGATGTCAATATTTGATGCTTCATTAAACGAAGGGTCAGCAAGAGGAACTGCATGGAGCTGACTGACTGCTGATATTGTTATTGTTTCTTGCGGAAGCGTAGACGTGATTCTGCTGAGAACATGAGCTTTGACCTCTAAAATGTCATTGCCGACTCGAGATTTGATGCGGAGAGCGCAGAGTCCACATGTTGTTTCAGCGTTGACTGAGGAGATACCCGAAACAACAACACGTGAATGTGAGCGTGGGAGAGCGAGGCTTTGAGCGCAGCGCTCGGTGATGTATGACAATTCGGAAGCGCAGTCCAACAAAACACGGCAAGTTTTGTATCGGTGCCCTGCCGTTTGTACATTAACCACCGCTGTAGGCAAAATAAATTTACTGCTATCCCTAGACGAGCATTCAACTACGTTGGCATATTCTACTCCTAGAGGGCTACACGATGAGTATGGGCGAGCAACATGTGACGTAGTTGACCATGGGCCAGGTGATGCAGTGGCAGAGACCGGCGAAGAGGTCGAGGCTTGCGCTGACTGCGACGCAGTGGGAGTCTGCAGTACTGTAGTAGGGTGTACCAATGTATGGTGTCGACGATGACATTCCTTGCAGCGAAATTTGCTTGAACACGAATACGATGTATGTCCACTTTTGAGACAATTTGAAACAAAGCGATTTTCCTTTTATAAAATTACGACGATTTTCAAGGCTGAGTGAAGCAAATATTGGACATTTTGTTATAGTGTGGTCTGTCGAATTACATTTAACACATACTGTAGATACGTTAGTATCAGTGGTCAGCAATGCACGTGATTGCTGCTTGATAGCCTTACTACCGACCTCGGATGACTTTGAAGAGCTGCTAATTTTGCGACCGCTTAACTCCAGTTCTTCGCAACGGGAGTCCAAGAACTGTAAAAACTCGCCAATGGAAGGTATTGCATTGGCCTTACTATCGTTGATCCAACGACGCCGAGACCCTGGGTCGATTTTTGCTACCAACAAATAAATTAACCAGCAGTCGCGCCCACTTTGCTTTGAAGCCTCCAAACCTCGCACAACTTCATGAGCACCATCCGAGATTTTTCGCAGCAAGTTCGAGTTTTCAACCGTCGTAGAAGGAAGGTTCATGAACATATCCATGAATGAGTTAACTATGTGCCGAGGTCGGTCAAAGCGATCACTCAAACGTTGCCATGCGGTTTTGTAAGCGGTATCTGTCACTGGTAAATGTTTTACCAAGTTCGCAGCCTCGTCACGAAGTGACGAGGTTAGGTAGTGGAATTTTTGAACGTTGGATAGACTGGACCTTGAATCCACGGAACTCACGAATAAATCGCGAAAGGTAGGCCTGTCCTTGTAATTACCCGAAAAAGGTTGAATATTGATTTTTGGTAAATCATTTTCAACAAATTTTGTCGATTTAGAAACGTTGGCTAATTGCTCAAAAAGCGTAGCTTGTTGTTCTGTTAACCTTGAAATGACATTGTAAACCTTGTCTGCGCGACCGCTGTTGTCATCGGGTTCTTCAACCGAAGGTAGTCCTCTTTTAAAGGTTAGGAGCAATCCACGTGTTAGTAGATACTTTTCTTCATATACAGCGTAATCCGCCTCGGGGTCTGCATACTCTGGGCTTTCCACGTGTTTGTACATTTGGTCAGTTGTATGCACGCACTCCTGCCAAATTTCCTGGAGACGCTCCAGTCTAGTGTCAATCTGCTCCTTAGTGAAGTCCTCAGGGGGACTCTCAGCATAAGCAAGCGTGTGCGTAATTGAGCCCTTTAGACGTCCGCGAAATTGATGAGAAGATTATATTCTTCCGACATTGTGAACGAAACGCGACAAAAAATAATTTCACTTTAATTACTTAGACAAAAAAAAAACAAAGAGCCATCCGGCTCGAAGGACCAGCTCGTGACGATGAATGCCGTGAAGGCAGCGAAATAAGAAGCAAGGGATTAGTTAAATATGCTTTATTCACGAACAGTTTCATCGGTCAACTGACTTAACAGAAAATATAATACAAGTACTTAGCTTACAAATTACAAAGTGAGCAAAGAAACGATTGGAAGATTACAGTTACATACTTGAAAAAACTCAATAGATTACAGTAGTTACTAGACCTTTTCGTACAACAGAAACTTAACTACAAAAATGTATTTATTCCGCAACAATGATCTTCTTCTACTGGGCAGTGTCCCACCTTTTGTTTAAGACCCAATTTTGTACCATACAATACTGAAAGTTTTTCTGAAGATGATTTTTTAGATACATTTTTTTCAACCAATTTCATGTAAAATACACGCCAACATGATTATATTATATTTCAACAATATTTTTATTTAAGGATTTTAAATGCAAACTTAAAAAACCAAATATTCATTATTTATCAAAGTATTAATTTTTATGGAAGAACCGCCGCAGGCGAAAATTTTTAATAAAAAATCGCGCAAAATCTTTCTCTCAAACACTCCAAGAGCCGCCTCATCGGATGTTGTCATTGTCCATGCTTCTGCGCCATATACCAGCACGGGCATGATGAGTGACTTATAGAGCGTGGTTTTCGTACGTCGAGAGAGGACCTTACTCCTGAATTGCGTACTCATTCCAAAGTAGCACTTGTTGGCAAGAGTGATTCTGCGTTGGATTTCAATGCTGACATTGTTATCGGTGTTAATGCTGGTTCCCAAGTAAACGAAATTCTCTACTTTCTCGAAATTGTAACTGTCAACAGTGACCTGGGTGCCAAGGCGCGAATATGCTGACTGTTTGTTTGATGACAGGAGACCCATTCGCTTTGCTTCCCTATCTAACTTGGAAAAGACAGAACAGACTTCGCGGTTTTTGTTACCGATGATGTCGATGTCATCAGCATAAGCCAGCAATTGCACGCTCTTGTAGTAAATTGTTCCTGAGCGGTTCAGTTCTGCAGCTTTTATAATTTTCTCCAACATCAGATTTAAGAAGTCACATGAAAGGGAATCGGAGAGGTCTTTCCAAATTCTGACGGAGCTGGTGGTATTGCTAAACGTCATTTTACATATCCGTATGGGTTTTGAAGGATGCCAAATTCAGACATAGCGGCGTATAGGCAACTCCTTTTAGTGCTGTCAATAGCGGCTTTAAAGTCGACAAATAGGTGGTGAGTGTCGATCCTTTTCTCGCGGGTCTTTTCCAAGATTTGGCGTATTGTGAATACCTTGTCTATGGTGGATTTGCCAGGTCTAAAGCCACACTGATAAGGACCAATTAGTTCATAGACGGTGGGCTTCAGTCTTTCACCACAGACTTGACGGTTAGAAAATATCTCAAAATGTAGACGTCTACATTTTGAGACACAATTTGGAACTTACTCTGAACACTCCATATTTGGTTATAGACCAAGAGCCCATGACCAAAAAACCCATCATACTTCAGATGACAGCGGTCTTGATTATGCGTTTTTAGCGATTAAAGATGTCAATAAAAAGCGATTACTCAACATAATTCAGATGACTTGAAATTTAGATTGAATTTTATTTACAGTGTATAGAATATGAATTCAAGGTTGCCTGCCAATTCCTATGGTCTTAAACTACTGCCAGCCCATCTTGAAAGTGCATTGCTGCAACTATAACTCAACATACTTCCGATGGCGGTCCTTATAGCAGCACATTATTAATAGAGATGGGATACTATCGATAGTAACATCGTTTCAAACTATAGATGTCGGTTAAGTGTAATAACATATTTAAATTTTTAATCAAGAACAAACCCTGTAGCTGCAGTGTTCAATGCAGAAGCACCGTTTTATTATTTAACGTCATTTCAGCAACACTATGTTAAGACAGCATATGAACGAAATACGTTTTCCCCCACACGCCCGCACTCCGGCAAATGACGTTTTTGACATTTTTCATATGATGTTAGCATCAGAATGGGCTGGCTGTAGATATTTCATTTATTTATATTATTACTAATGTGCTGTGAAAAGGACAGCCCATCTGAAGTATGTTTAGTTATGCTTGCAACAAAGCACCCTCAACATGGGCTGTTTGCACTTTAAGACCCTCATAATTGGCAGACAACATTGAATTCATTTTATATGCACTGTAAACAAAATTCTATCAAAATTTCAAGTCATCTGAAGTATGTTGTCTTATAGGTGCAACAATGCACTTTCAACATGGGCTGGTTGTAGTTTAAGACCATCAGAATTGGCAGACAACCTTGAATTAATTTTAAAGAAATAAATAAAATTTTATAAAAATTTCAAATAATCTGAAGTATGTTGACTTATAGGTGCAACAATGCACTTTCATCATGGGCTGGCAGTACTTTAAGACCATCAGAATCGGCAGGCAACCTTGAATTCATTTTATATGCACTGTAAATAAAATTCTATAAAAATTTCTAGTCATCTGAACTATGTTGACTTATAGATGCAAGAATGCACTTTCATCATGGGTTGGCAGTACTTAAAGACCATCAGAATCGGCAGGCAACCTTGAGTTCATTTTATATGCACTGTAAATAAAAATCAATGAAAATTTCAAGTTATCTGAAGTATGTTGACTTATATGTGCAAAAATGCACTTTCAACATGGGCTGTTTGTACTTTAAGACCCTCAGAATTGGCAGGCAACCTTGAATTCATTTTGTATACACTGTAAATAAAATTTTAGAAAAATTTCAAGTCATTTGAACTATGTTGACCTATAGATGCAACAATGCACTTTCATCATGGGCTGGCAGTATTTTAAGACCATCAGAAGTGGCAGGCAACCTTGAGTTCATTTTTTTGACACTGTACATAAAATTATTTCTAAATTTCAAGTCATCTGAATTATGTTGAGTAATCGGTTTTCA